TTCGCATCTTCCGAGCAAACCAATCTGCACCCGAGCACGAAATGATTCCACAAAGGATGCGTGCTATCGCCACATAGGCCTTCATCAGCGGTGTTCCCAGCATCATTAAAAAGGAGAAAAAATGATACACCAACATAATATAAACATCGCCCCATCCGCCCCTCCGACTGTTGCAGCCTTCCCCACCTGGGCGGTGGTACGCCTGGACCACACCCTCGTAGTTCGCTACCATCATGTCCATGACTCGATCGTGCTCAAGGCTGACGATCGATCCCCTTGCTTTCTCCGCAAAGCGGGCACGCAGAGGTCCATTCACGACCAGCTCCCGCGTCAAGGAATGGTACTCGTCCACGTCGGCTCGAGAGATGACAAAGCCGTTGACTCCATGGTGCACAAGATGGCCTGAGCAGCCTGCTGAGGCAATGCATGGCACCCCACTGGCCAGTGCCTCCAAGGTCACATTTCCGAAGGTCTCGACCTCGCTGGGAAAGAGGAACAGGTCAACGGAGGCATAGACCTCCGCCAGGGCCGCGCCGCTCATCCATCCCAGATGCTCGGTCCGTGGCAGCTGCTTCATGTGCTCCTCGTAAGACCCTGACCCCACCACTAACGCTCGAAATTTCAAACCCTCCTGGTCCAACCGTCGGATTACCTCGGCCCATATATCCGGAGATTTTTCCTTCACCAGTCGCCCCACCCACAGGATCACCACCTCGTCGTCTGCAATGCCGCGGCCACGCCTGAAAGCCATGGAGCGGAAGTTCGGGTTAAACATTTTCAGGTCAACCCCGCGGCCCCAGAGGGAGACACGATTCTCGGGGAACCCGCTGTCCACCAAGCGCTTGCGCACGAACGGCGTCGGAACATAGATAGGCATGTTCACGTAGAAGCTGCGGATGAAGCGTTCTACCGGGAGGCGGATGACGCTTAAATGGTAGAATTGCAGGTAGTCTGCATAATTGGAGTGCCAGGTGCCCATCACGGGGATTCGCTCCGCCTTCGCCCACCGGAGCGCGTCCAGGGCCAAGAAGTCGGGGACAGTAAAGTGGATGACAGAGGGGTTGAAGGCTTTGATCTGAGCTTTGCACTCCGGTGTGAGTCTTATGCCCAGAGAATATCCAAAGTTATCGTCCGCGTTGATGATCGGCAAGGGGATGGAAGGAACGGTGAAGACATCCGTTTCGCTCCACCCCGCAGGCCCGCATGATACCACCCGAGAGGCTATCCCTCGGCTTTGTAGATGCGCCCGGAGCTTCCGAATGGTAAGGCTCACTCCGTCGCACACATAATAGGCGGCGGTGAAAATGACCACGCGTGGCGCCCCGCCGGTACCCAAAGTACCCCCGCTTCCTTCTTCGTCCGTGTCCAGCACGGGCGTCGTGGAGCAGGTGACGCTGCTGGTGCTGCTGCTAGAGGGACCCGGTGGATACCACTGCGGATGCTGCACATCAAAGTTCTCATGCTTGTGTCGGTTTGCGTCGTATGCTTCTTCCGAGTACTGCACTACTGCTTCTTCCAAGTCCTGTAAGTATACAGAGGGAGGTCCGTGTTAACATTGTTCTTGAGTTCACTTCATTTCTATCACATTATTCACAGCGCAATTACACTTGTTTACTCTAAAAAGGGAGTTCCAAATACTCCTCCGGCGCGGCATAGTGGGTCTCATCCCCCCCAAATATTTGAGAGCTCACCTCATGAGGCAGACGTGGCACTTGATCGCCGCTGGGCATCTTTTATATTTGATTTCAGATCGATTAAATTGACGATGGCTTACAATCTTTGGGGCTGCTATCTGTCGTGAGGGGCACGGTGGACCAGTAGCGGAATGACAGGATTTGTTTCCAGCAGGTGATGTTTGAAGGCGCCTTCCCGCGTGAAATTCAGTTTGTATGCTTGGAAAAAAATTCACTCTTCCGTCACTTCAGCATTCTACAAATTGCTAAAGCAGCGACTTGCCCAAATCCCTGTGCCAATAGCATATGATGTTAGTAGGTGTTGTGAGCTTTTGAGTCAAAATGTGTGCATCTTGGTAGATCCAGCATCTCTTCCTCTACTTTCTTGCCGGCGCATGTGGAAAATCCATCCGTCGAAAAAATGTACGCATGGTGTTGCGTACATTCGTCCATTCGAACCCACAGGGTCGTGGATGGAGAGTACCGGGTGCATCGGGGTGCACGATGGACTTTGCACATCGAATTCTGCATTTATTCCGAAGCAGCCAAAAAAACTTTCCCCATGGGGGGAGGCGAGAGGCCCAATCCTAACGTCTCCCGCTTTCCTAGCTTTGACACCGTGCACGACCAAGGTCAAATGCTATCATTTTCACCAGCCCAGGTGAATCCCTCTCATTCGGTTCCTTGCAATCTACTTCCGGGAGTCCCCGCCTTTATGCGCCTGATCCGGGCGCGGAGGGAAAGGACGATCATCGCTTTGTCGAGGTGTTCGGTCCTGAAAAGTGACGCCGCACATGTCTCAGATCTGTGTTCCTCCTCGATCGGATTCATTTGTCTAAGACGAGTTCTGATAGAATTTCAACAACCCGAAGAGCTTAGGAGAATGGTTGTCTTCTTTTCAGAAATTTTATGGGAGGATTGTCCGTGAAGCTATACTTGTCGGTGGGCGAGACACTCATCACGACTTCATGAATACGGGAAGGAGGGACCCCGGAAGAAGCTCTCTGATTTACAAAACATAGAAAACGCACGACTTGCGCCTGATTTATTGCACGTGATCCCAAGGGTATACTTTTCAGCTACTTTTACAATAATTTCGTACGTACTATTTGAGCCTCTCTGTATGCAGCTGACCGAAGACGGAGGGCAACGGCTTACCAGAAATAAATTTGCCATGTGTTTTATCTAGAGCCAACTTAAATCGCGCCCGACGGGAAACAACTTCGACAAATCTTTTTAAAAATGAGCTCTGAGTTGATAGCATCACGGGCAGAAATATTCCCCTGTGGGGTCTTCATTCCCACAGAGGCTCTGAAAAAGGGCGGACGCCCTCCTCACTTTGTTTACCCCGACTTGCCGCTCGAACACAAAGCGCATTGGCAAATGAAGCCGTACTCCTTCAAGCTGATTCTCCGATCCTCCACACTAGTACCTTGGACCCGAATATAGCTCTGGAAAAGCTCCCCGCCTCCTGGGAGATGCTCCATTGCCACCAGCTCGGCCATCAAGGGCGCGCCCCCTACACCCCCCACCCATCGCACCTCACAATTTGCTTGGCAGGAATGGTTCATGCAACATATGAGGGAAAGCAATGCCGTCCCGTCCACAGCCGAGAATATCTCACTGGTCTGGCTCTTCGCCAAGCAGGCTTCCACCAAGGCGCGGGCCGACGAAGGTGACGCTGGTGGGAGTCTCGAAGAAACAGAACATGGCGGGACAGCTCCCAAGTGCTGGTGATGATCATGCTCGTGGCCGTTTGCATCTGCACCTGAGATGCCCGCGTCCGCGACACACATCTCATCGCCGTCGTCTGGCGCCCCCTCCTCCCCTTCCTCGTCCTCTTCCTCCCCCTCCTCCCAGTCCTCTAGGATTCGCCCGAGAAGCTGCAAATAAACTTGCGTGGAGTCTATGGAACAATTTGGCATGAGGTGGTCGACCAGGAATGACGACAGCACCGAGTCACGCCGAATGCCTACGTTGTTCTGTTCGAACATGCCGATCACGGCCGCCACGAAGTCGGGGGAGACGATACTTTCCACCGAGCCACGGTAGGTCGCACACGGGGCACCGGGGTGAGTCAACAACGCCTGTCGGAGCAAGTCCGCAGCCACCTTCACCAAAACGCGTAACATATCTTGGAAGGCGCTCGTGTCACGGACGGGGTCGGGGTTGGTGGCCACGTCCCACCAGGGCCTTTGCACAAAATCTCGGAATGGAGAGAGAGCCGCGGAAAGATCCCCTCCATTGCTCTCAAAGCGCGTGAGGATCAAGGCCACCACATCCGCCACAAGCAAAAAGATTTCATTCGTCCGTAAGGCGTGCATTTTGTACTGGACCAGGGGGTGCGAACCCGCCTCATGTTCTGGAATGTGCCCGACGCAGAGGAGACGGTGCCCGCGATCCCAATGCTCTTCCCGGCATTTTTGCGAGCAGTACATTTCTCCACAGCGCATCGTGCATGGCACAAGAGGGGCCAACACGGCCCCTGGAAAAGTGGCGGCCTCTGCTTCCATGCGTCTTGACTCCTCCTCCTCCATCAAAGCACTACGATCGCCTGCCTCCGCAAGCAGCATGAGATGCTGCCGGCAAGTGCCAATGAAGCAGAAGCAGGCTCCACAGGCCGGGACGTATTGCCGATTGTCTAAACTCTGCATGGCTACGAGGGGACGTTCCCGGAGAATGACCTGAAGTTCATAGCCTCATGAGTTTTGCGGTTATTCGAAAGAACGCATCAACATGGTATTTGCCTTATCTTACGTCCATGGTACACAAAGGCCACACACATGCATATTTTAGAAAGAACTCACGTCAATATGTTGAAGCTTTTCAGAGACTTGCACGCACACGCTAACCGGTCTCTCGACAATTCAGTCGAATTCGGTGCGATGTTTCGATTGATTCAACACCAAATGCAACCTCACACCAAACAATGAGGGCTAGAGCGTTCAAAATGCTCTTCGAACCTCCCCGTCCTCTCCTTTCACCTTACCTCGCCAGGCAAAAAGTCCCTGGTAGCGAACAAGCCCCGACCGTGGTACTTGCTCGGCAAAACACTCACGTTGGTTTTGTTGTTGTCCATTTGCGTCGAAGTTGTCCACATGTGCCTGGGAGGAAAAAAATGTCAGTGCGCATATCCCAAGTAGATGCCGCAAGGAGCCGATGCGTTGATACTCCGATCGTATCGTTGATACCCATCGATTGTCTAATGAGCGAGATCGACAGGAACAGAGGGTCTTCGCCTGCAAGTTGACGGCCAAAGTTGATGACAGAAGCAACCATCTTCTGCTGTCAAGTACCGCTTTGACTCACGACATGCTTGCGTTTTCCACAACAGGTGCTACATAAAAATCATGGCTCCTGAAACGAATCCGGAGCCGGGCCGTACTGAATTGACAAACGGGACGGAAGCCCGTCGTTCAGAGGGCCATGCCGCCCCATCGTCTCCTGTTCAGTCCTCCATCAGCAGCTCTCGTGATCCACACCCTGTTCTACGACCACGCGCAGGTTTTGGAAACGGAATTCCACACGTCTCGCAACGCCTCGTTGCAGGCATGCCCTCCTTCCCCGGAAGCCCGGTCTCCCCTTCCTTGGTCGTGACAGGGCATGAGGATTTTCGCGTCCAAGGTCATGACAATAATGCTTTGGTGCATGATGAAGTCATGGCACCGTTGTCTCAAGTCGTTCTTCCGTTCCATGGGACTCAAGAGAGGGGTCAAGAAGTAGTCTTTTCTTCCCATGCGGCGGGTCATCCGGTGGCTTCGGAGCACACCCCCGCGCAGGACGATGCTGGGGTTGAGAACAAGGAAGATGGAGAGAAGCAGAACAAGAAAGAGGGGGAAGTGCAAACCAGTAATTGGTCTGGCATACGTAGGGATGCAGGTTCCAGCGAGACGAATGGAAGGCGAGGTGTGGGGATTGGCGCAGAGGAGGAGGAGGAGGAGGAGGAAGACGAGGAGGAGGACGAGGATGACGACGGGGAGGACGAGCAAGACGAAGAAGACGAAGAAGAAGAAGAAGAAGAAGAGGAGGAGGAGGATGCCAACGAGGCTGACGATGAGGAGGAAGACGAGGAGGTGGTAGGGGAGGACGAGGGAAACGAAGAAGAGGAAGACGAAGCGGATGGGGGAAAAGAGGAGATTGGAAGACGCCATGAGCGTGAGAACATTTCGTCCGTCCAGGGGACGAGGGCTGTTGTGCCAGTGTTCAGAGAGAGACACGGGGGAGGGCGCGGGGCTCTGTCGGGCGCCTCCGTGTCGCATGCTTTGCCCTTGGCCGGTGGAGTCCTGCGGATGCGGCGGTCGCGGGGAGTTTCCTCCATCCAAGCGGCTAACGGATCGCGCGTCCGCCCTCCGTCCGCCGGCTCCGTGCGGGCATCCCCTGCAGGGTCCCGGCTAGAACCACCCGCTCCCTTCGCCTCCGCCGGCCCCTCTCCTTCCCCTCGGACGTGCGCGGAAGTCAGCGGGGAACAAGCCGGCCGCGACGCCTGGGTCTGCCCCGTCTGTTTGCAGCATTTCGATGAGCCTTGCCGCCTGCCTCGCTGCACCCACACCTTCTGCAAGACGTGCATCCAAGGCATCATCCGAAACCTCGTGGCCGCCCACCACCAGCAACAGCAGCACCAGCAGCTTTCGCCCCCCGCGCCCCATTGCCCCCTCTGCCGTCTCAAGTTCACTCCCGCCGAGGTTCAACCCGACCAGGCCCTGTCTCAGGAGATGAGCGCCGCCAGGGTCCGCTGCGGCAATGCCCGGTGCGAGCGGCTCATGACCCCCCTCGAAAGCAAACGGCACCAGGACGAATGTCCTTACGGCGTGGCCCCCTGCCCCCACCAACATCACGGCTGTGGCTTTCAGACGCTGCGGAGGGACCTCGGTGCCCACCTGAGCATGTGTCCCTACGAGCAGATCAAGGGCCTTTTCCCCAAGATCCGTCAGAGCAACGAGCACGTCACGGCCGCCATGCGCGGGTGGGAAAATGCCTTCGTCTCGCAGCAACAAACCCTTGCCACCCACGCCGCGTCTCTCCGCAACCTGGAACACCGCTCGTCATTCCCTCTCTCCCGCCACCTCCAGCTCGTCACCCTCCTTCTCTGGGAACCATACCTGTGGCTTCAACAAGCCGAGCGATGGTCACGTTCCTTCTCCCTGCGGCTTTTCGCCATGCAGCTCTACGCCTCCCCGCTCGTCCTCATCCTCCTCAAAGTCGCCGCCCGTAGCAGTCCGGACATGCCAAGGGAGCCGGGGCACGAAAGCCGCCGGTGGTTTTTCCCTCCGGCGACGCACTACCCCGCCCCCATTGTCGGCGCCAATTGCTGCCCGTCCTCTCCGTGCCTTGGGCCACCCTCGTCCTCGGCATCCTCGCTCTCCTTCCTCACACCATGGCCTGCGGAGAGCGCTAAAGAAGGCGACGGCCAGCCTCAAGTCTGCAGCCTCGGGATGGCGCCCGAGCTGGCATGGTTCGTGCTGATCCTCGTCGTGGCCGTCGTCCTGGTCGAGGGCCTTCAGGACGCACCCCCTGTCCTCTCCACCGAGCTATGCATCCCATTGCGACCTGCCTCCTGGAGGGCATTCTTTCCCGGCTTACCTTTCCCGTCCAACCGGCGCCGCACCTCCTCCTACGACCCCTCCTCCCCGGCACCTCCTTCCGTTCCTCCCTCCCAAGCCACCCCGCCCGCGCCTCGTTCAGATCGAACCCCCCAGACCCACACTGGCACACCCCCTGCGAGCACTGGACCTCACTCGTCACCATTCATTCCTCTCGTACTGTCCGTTCCGATCCGTTACGGAGAGTGGCTTTTGCAGCTCGCCACTGCCTGGGCTTGTTACGCTTTCGGAGGAGGGCGGGCTCGGGCAGATTTCTCGGACGCGAGTTTCCCATATCTAAGCAGCTTTATCAGTGTCAGATATATAGCATTATTCCTGAGCCTGATCCCTGCCATGGCCGTGCAGACCCTGACCCATCGTTGCAAGTTGGAGAAGCCAATAGTGCAAGGCATGGTTATGGGTGTATGCATGTACTGGGTGGAGTGGCGGGCTTTGGCAGGCTCCCTTCTCCTGGAAGAGTTCCTCCATTATGGTCTCATTTATGCGTGTGGACAATGGTTACTTGTGGACTCTGCGGAAAGGGAGGGCAGCGTGCGGTGGGATGCCTACGTGCGACGCTGTATCGAAGAGCCTGGGGCACGGTTTCGCGGAATCCTACTCCTGACTCTGGCAACGATCATGTTGCTAGTTGGACAGAGTTGGGCACTCGTGAAAGGAATTTTTTTCCGAACCACCGGTACAATGGTGTCGTTCATGTTCCGCATGATTCTTGGCCGCTTCATGAAGCAGACCTATCAAATGCCGCGTCCCCCTGCCACCAGTGCCGCTGTCCGTCTTCTGCAAGAACAAGGGCAATGGCCTCCGCCTGGTCACTACATGCTCCTCGCCTCGCGAACTTTGTTGGCATTGTCTGTGATGGGAATCGCTCTCGTGTCCCTGTATTAAATTTGCTTGTAAAGTCACGTTGTACCTGACCAAGAGGGGATGTTACTCTCCCCTACTGAAGGACTTGTACATATGTGAACCAGTGAGTCAACCAACCAGCGAATAAAGTAAATAACTTAAAACTATAATACTTGATCGATGGGGAAAAAAAACACAACGCATTTTTTCTCCTCAGTTGTTTTGTAAGAATTATGGCTTAAAATTTGGAGGGGGGTGGGGAGGTTAGTAACCGTGGGCTGCAGGAACCGTTGAACGCCGGAACGTGGCTAGGCGCTCTCGTCCTGCCTCAACTGAGTGTTGTTATTGGCACTTTTTATTTAGGGACGATCGTCTTACCGCACATTATCACTATTAGGGGTACCATCGAGTGTAAGGTTCTACTGGCCTCACCGCTGGGCTTCTCCTCTACCTGCGTTTTGAGTCCACAGCCTCCATCGCCGCATTCCAAGAGTTGGGCAACATGCACGTCAAGGGTTATAAAGTAATAACCGTACCTCTGAATAATAATACGTCGAGCCCTTTCTCAAGATTTGTTTACGTTCGTCAACATAACAATAAAGGGTAAGACATAGTTCATGTGTTTTATTCTAATGTGGCTATCGAGTGAGTATCTTCTTTCTGACTTCGCCTCCCCACCCAAATATTTCTGTCATTTCTTTACTCAGAGAAGAAGAGCTGCCTCATGGACGCACGCTCTTTTTGGCCAATGTTCCCGCGCAGATAGGTGTTGATGTTCACATGTACCTGAAAGAGGCTTTCGCAAAGTTTGGAGAAGTAGAGCTCGTTCGCGTGAAGGAGTCATCGGACAACGACGCCACGAGCTCGTATACGGTTAAGAGTGCGATCGCGTTCGTGATTTTTCGTAGTAGTAAAGGGGTTAAATCTGTGATGAATGCGCCATTCGGAGAAAGCCGTCTACCACCACCGTCGGTCAAAGCGTCACTGGCAGAGTATAAGCCTTCCAAGCGACAACGGAAGCTGCATAGTCAATACCAGGATACAGCAAATGAAACCGAGCGAAAGGAGGCGATGGCAGCAGCCTTGGAAGAGGATGTACAAAGCCTTGTTCGGCGTTTTCGGGCTAAACTTCCGCAGGCGAAACTGTTGCAAGAGGAAGTCGACGATTATATGGCAAGGTTTGAGGCAGCGGAGGAGGAAGCTGAACGCAAGCGTAAGGAGGCAGCTTCCAAGCCGGACGCTGATGGCTTTGTTACAGTGGCATATGGTAAAAAACGTCGACGGGGGGGGGATGCTGACGGCAGTGATGGTATGAACGGCGGGAGGAAAAGGGGGCGGGCAGGAAGTCAGAAGAAGAAGAAGAAGGAGAGGGAATTAAAGAACTTCTACGCCCATCAAATGCGGGAGGCAAAACGGGAGCAGCTGGCGCGCCTCCGGACACGCTTCGAGGAGGATAAGGCACGAATAGAAAAGATGAAAGCTGCACGTAAGTTCAAGCCGTTTGGATGAGACGTGAAAAGCTTGCAAAAAAGAAGTACGATAGGCGAAATGTCGCTCTTACAATCCGTTACCAAGGTTTGTTGTTAGAATTACACTGAGAACCTGGCTCTTTCGTCTGTATGGATGCGTTCACACACTTTTCGACGCCGCACTTTTGGGAGGAAGCAACAACTGTTTCTCGGCACCGGTGAGTTTCCGAAAGCGCGCGATCGCCTCATCCAACAGACGCAATTTTTCCACCCGGAATGCCAATGTTAGCAAGCGAGGAGCCCTCTCCGCATTTTCCGTCTCAGCCCCTAGTCGTTCTCGTGAGGCCGCCGCTTTTCCCAGCTCTTCCTCCTCCTCCTGCGTCAAGGACAAGCGCTGCCGTTGCTCCAAGGTGGCCTCCAGCATGGCTTCATAGACGGCCAGCTCGGTCGGCGACTGCAGTTCCTTGGAGAAAACAGAGTCCTGAAACTCGTCCAAGGTCAGAAACATGGGCGTCTGAATGATGCTCTCCGTGATGGCGTTCTCTGCCCGCAACTCGTCGTCCGATGCCAAGAGGATTCGCAAGCCTTCCAGAGCTTTCTCGTCTACCAGCCGCCCCCTCCGCCCCAGCCGGCAGCTTCGCACGTTCTCCTGCAGCCCTTTACTGAACAGGGTCTGCACACGGTCGTCGTTGACGATTCCCGCCCGGTTTTCGAGCAGCCAGTCCAGGAGATCCCCGAATTCGAACACGTCGGCCGCCGCGTCGACCTCCACGAAGCCGTAGTGAAAGAGCAGGTCATCGTTGCTCTTGTCGCCGTAGGACATGAACACCTGCTGCCCCGCCTTGAAGTCCTCCCCCAGACTCAGACGAAAGCGTTGCCGCACGGAGTCGTAGTCCAAGTCGGTCGGGACGGTGGAGCGATGGTTGAGAGAATCGATCATGGGCGCCAGTACATAGGTTGCTTTGGATCGGAAAAATTCCAAGAGAGAAGGGAGCAAGACTAGGGCGCCGGGTATTACCGCTAGGTAGGGGTATTCCTCGAGGGCGTAAGATAGGAGTTGAATCGTCTCCTGGTCAAGGTAGTAGATACCGGCAAAGAGGGCGACCAAGAGGAGGGAGGGCGCCAAACTGTTGAAACCCGTGCCAAAGGTGCCTTTGAATGCCCGCGACAGGACGCTTTCCATGGCCCACACGAAGGTGGTCTCGTCCATGTCTTCCCGTACGGCTCGTGTTTTCCCCAACGCGTCGTAGAGCCCCGCCCACAGTTGTCGTTGTCGGTCTACTTTCCCCGCCAGGACGGGATAGACGCCTCGAAGCGCATTTAAGTCCTCTTCTGGCCAATGGAGCGGGGTAGGGATGCCCTCGGGTGGAGGCAGGAGCTGCGTATACCCGGCTTTGAGCGCGCTTGTGGATGTCTTCCGTTCATAGACAAGCTTAAGTCCCAGCTGCGCGTACCATGGCATTTTTTTCCATTGCTTTTGGGGAACCCATTGTGGGAAGGGAGTACTTTCTCCTTCATCCAAACAAATTGCTTGTGATCGAGGCAGTTTTATCAAAACTTTGCCCAAAGGTATATTGAGGTTTGTTTTCAAACCTCGGGAGGGGGCTGTGTCTCCTTGTGGCCAAAAGAGGGCATGCTCCAGTCCCTCAGCGTCAATACCGGAGTCCTTAAGGCGGCGTTCGAAAGAGAATACAGCTTCTTTCTCATCCTCGGTAAACCCCGCCTGACACTGATAAAGATCTGGAGAAGCCGACGATTTAGGCTCGACCGTGACGGCAAATCTCCTTGTCACAGGGAGCGATGATGATGAAAGCCTCCCACTTTTTACCAGAAAACCCTGAGTCATCCTCGAGGCCGACAACACCATCATGGCTATGGTCGGCAGCGTAGGGCAGGTCACCCGCATACTCTTGATAAACAACTTTCCCTCTTCTGCCCCCTTGTCTAATGATGTAGATTAAAAATGGGTCAGACAACTTGCCTTTTCCAGCAGGAGAGGTTGAGAAGAGGCGGAAAAAGCCAGCTTCGTGACACTTTAAGACCAAGGAGAAGCCAATGAGAAACATGATAAATCCACAAACAAGCGAAAAAAAGGGTCGAACCCACATGGTGTGCGTGTGCCGCTTTTTTTGTCTCTGTGGGCAGACCTGCCGGTGCTTGTGCCTGTATATGTCTACCTGAGGTCAAGATACTTCCCTCGGCACTCGCCATATCTTGCACCTGACCATCACACTTTTTTACCCCCCCACAGGACAACTATGCCACCTTTTCCGTTTCTGGCCACCACACTTTTCGTCCTTTTCTTTTGCACGTTTGGGCGACCTCAGCATGTAGCTATCGTTGGCGCAGGGATGGGCGGTGCTGCGTCTGCTTATTTTTTGAGAGAGTTGTTGGGGAACAATGCGACGATAACCGTGATCGAGCAGAGCGCGAGAGTGGGCGGCCGGGCCGAGAACGTGTCCTACATCAACACGACCACCACGGTGCCCTTAGAGATTGGGGCCTCAATCCTCTACACCGGCAACGAGCATTTGATGACGGCGGTGCGCACACTGAAGCTTCACGCCGCCCCGCCGGTCTTTGAGAGCGAGGCGGGCACATCGGGCATCTGGGACGGCTCTCGGCTTGTCTTTCAGAGCTCCTCGTGGAGCTTCTTGACGGCAATGCGGGTACTGTGGCGATACGGACTAGGAATGTTCAGGCTGCGACGTGTCGTGCGGCAGACATTGAGGAAATTCAGGCAAATTTATGCCCTTCAAGGTACCGCAGGCAGCCCCGTCCGCGTCGCATATGAGACGCCGGAAGCTCTATGGGGGGCTCTAGATCTCCTTCATTTGACCAAGGTAAGCCTGCGAGACTACTTGGCGTCCCAAGGAGTGGGTCTTCCGGAC